TTATAGAAAATATCCTCTCTGCCCCCTGCTCTGTGGTACATCTTTTATAATATATCAAGTTTGCACACATTTGTGGAACTTTTCTAAGCTGTACACTATTTAATCAACCCATTTGTCTTTCCTTACTGTAATATGCTGGCTTAATTTCTACAGCTCCATAGGTCTTTTTCTTTTAAATTTTTATTTTTCTTGATAGGAATTTCCCTTTCCATCCTCTCCACACTCCCCTCACTGTTTTCCCCAGTATTATAACAATAGTATAGCCCTTCAACAACAGTCACAAGTCCGTCGTTCTTCTATGTAAGTGCATCCTGATATTGTAGGTATAGACAATGGTAGAAAGTCCAGCAATCTATTTTTAAGATATATTTAACAGTTTCATTAGGAGTCCATCTTTTATTCAGAGATTAACATATACTGCAATGTATGGTCAATATAAATTTGCCTCCATTATGCAGTTTCTCTATATGACTCTATGTACATGTCTGTTTACCTGTGTATCTAGTGATCTTGTATTTTGCACAAAAGTTGCCTTATATCAGAGAGAACATATGATACTTGTCCTTTTGGGATTGGTTTATTTCACTGGGCATAGTGGTCTCTAGTTGAAACCATTTGATTGCAAATTGTAGACTTTTATTCTTTTTAATAGCAGAGTGTTATTCCATAGAGCAGATGTACCACAGTTTCTTTATCCATTCCTCTTTCAGTGGGCATCTGGGTAGTTTCTGTGTCTTTGCTATTATAGATTATGCTGCTGCAAATATGTGATTACAGGTCACTTTCTCATATACAGATTTCATTTTTTGGGGGGGATATGTTCCCAAAGGTGGGATAGCTGGATCATATAATAGATCCATTTTCAGTTGTCTTAACACTTTCCATTCTGACTTCCATAGTGGTTATACTAGCCTACATGCCCATCAACACTGATACAGGGTGTCATTCTTCCCACATCCATGCCAGTAGGTGTTTTTACTGGATTTCTGAATGTAGGCCAATCTCACGGGAGTTAGGTAGAACCTCAATGTAGTTTTCACCACAGCTAAGAGCCTTGGCATTTTTTTTATATGTCTGTTAGCCATTTAAATCTGTTCTTTTGAAATATATCTATCCATTTCCTTCGCCTTTTTCTACACAGAGTTGTTTTGCTGTCCTTGAGTTTCTGAAGCTCTTTATAAATCCTGGATAGTATTCCCCTATTGATTGTGTAGTGTGCAAAGGTTTTTTTTCCCATTCTGTTGGTTGCTTCTTGACTTTGTTGATGGTTTTCTTTGCTGTACTGAAGCTTTTTAGTTTGATGTATCCCATTTATTTATTTTGTCTTTGACTGCTTGTGCTTTTGGTGATTTTTCTAAGAAGTTTCTATCAATGCCTATATTTTAGAGTGTTTCCTAAGTCTTCCTCTAAAAGTTTGTTGGTTGCTGGATGCAAATTTAGGTCTTCATCCATTTAGAGCTGATTTTTGCAAGCTGCTATACAATTGTCCAAAGGTCTTGATACATGGTGTGTGAGCCCTCCAAGTTTGTACTTATTTCTCATGATTGCCTTATATAGTCTTGATCCCTTGCATTTTCATGTAAGTTCAAAAGCCAGTTTATCACTCTCACTCACACACGTCCTGTTGGGACTTTAATTTATATTGCCTTAAATCTGTAGATCAATGTAAGAAGAATTGACAGCCTCAACCATGGTGAATCACCAATCCATAAACACTATGCAGTAAATTTAGTTGCGTATGAACTCTGCTAAACATTGTGAGGAGCTCAAAAGTGGGTTTGCCCTTGAAGAATGAACAAATATGTAAACAAACATAAATGCAACTATAATGCCCTGTGATAATCTCATCACTGATAAGAACAAGGGCTAATCTTTCTTGAGTGCCTATTGTGTGGCTGTAAGGAGTTGACACATATAGCTCAGTTGTTCCTTGAACTGATACTTTGAGGTTAGTAGTATTGCTATGCCCATTATGTAGGTATTTTTAATCTCAAAGGGATCCAAGAGAAAGAGCTCTCAGGTCTTTATGGGGTGGGCAGAGGTAGCATCACACAGCAGGTGAAAATGGAGCTACCTTCTTAAGAAATTTGCCAGGGTAGAGGTCATACTCTCTGAATGTCTGTGCAGCATGTGAAGGGTGACACAATAAGGGTTTTCTGGAAACTGTCAAGGAGTGATGCTCAGGATGGAATATATGCAGCAAGGGGAGAGAATATAGCTGGTGCAGCATCAGAGGCAGGCAGAGTCTGAGGACCTTTTGATCCATGGAGTCTGAGCTTTATCCTGGAGTCCAAAGCCGTGGAGCAGGGGTTGGTTGTCTTAGACTGGGTTCCCCAGAAGCTGGCTGTTCTCACGTCCTGGAGCTGCTGTAATAGTATCACATGCCAGTGGTTTAAAGCAGCAGAATCTGATTTTCCCACCATTGTGGAGGCTGGACACCGGGTCAAGGTTTCTACAGTCAGTTCCTTCTGGAGTGACTGGAAGGAGAGGTGCCCTGTGCCCTCTCCTAGCTTCTGCTGCTTGCCCACCTTCCTTGACATTCCTTGGCTTATAGAAACAGCACCCTGACAAAGACTCTATTGCCAAATAGGGTAACTTTCCCAGGTGTTGCAATTTAGGACTTCTACAGACTGAGAAGGGTGAAGGGCAGCGAGAGGACAGGATTTAACTCATAACACCACATTTCAGGTGTGGACCTGCTGCAAGTTATTTATTCAGGAAGTATTGTTGGGGAGACACCAGAAGCAGAAGGAAGTTGAACAGGCACAAGAAGTCGGACAAGGACTTGGCAGCCTGCGGTCCTGGCAGATCCTACAGGGCCATTTGGGAGGTTAATGTGCCCTCCAGAGTTGTCTTCTGCTGAAAGGAGGGAATTGGGCCTTTCTTATGGGGGGAGAGAGAGAGAGAGAGAGAGAGAAGCAATCTGAGGATGACCCTCTGGGTAAGAAGCGCAGGTGCAGGCCCGTCAGAAGTGCAGAGGTACCAGCCACAGGCTCGCATTCAGACAGTAAAGAGGACTTAGACAGTCTGGGCGGAGCTGCTCCCTCGGGTCTGCCTCTCTGCTGATGCTCCCCTTCCTCCAGAACTGTCACTGATGGCCTTACAGGTCACCTGTCCCTTCCATGCTCTGAGGCTACCTGTCTGTTTCACAGAGGTACAGCTCTGTCTTGCAACAGTCTAAGCTTGTGCTCTGCTTGACACTGCTGAACACCACAGCTTTCTTACTCTCCTTCACTGTTTTCATTCTCCTTCTTTCTCCACTGTGCTCTGTTGACTCTTTCTAGACATTCCTAGCCAACCACGATGCTGCTTTTTCTTTTGAGGGATGAACCAATCACTGTTGGCATGGCACTTACACCCTGTGTGTTTGACAATCCCTCACTGTGGTGTTAGGATGTTGGTGGCTCATGAATCACGGCTATATTATCCAAGAGGGTGATTTTATTTGATTTTTTTTAGGACGTCGAGGAGGTTCGTTTTCAGGATTGAAGCTACTCTGAGAACCCTGAGGACTAAATGCTCTTCCCTTGCAAGGGTTGCTTATCATAATCACACAAACACTGTATGTTAAATGAGTTGATTTTTAAGGTTTGAAAAATTAATTAGTTGATATTGCTGGAAGATCAAGATCATGTTGAATAAATTCTGTGTGGGAAGCCATGAACAAAATGCCAAACTAGAGAAAGCAGGCCTTCATTTGTCACCCTGAGCTGACCTCTGACTGGCCTTTTCACTTTGGATGTGTCTGTTGACCTCTGCCTGAGTCTTCCATCTGTGAATTCAGACCGTTGGGATGCTTGAATTTCTACTTGTCTATAATTCCCTATCTAAAGTCTAGAATCTTAGCACTTTAATGCAGACAGTAAAAGAATTTCACGTAAAGTTATTTATATTTTAAGAAGCTTGACTTGAACATATATTAGATACCCATCTCCATGCTAGAGTTTAGGGAACACTGAGTGAAAACTTGGCCCCTCCCCCGCCTTAACTCACCGTCGGGTGGTGAGCACAAGTCTAAAAAAATTGCCAAATTGCAATTTTACAACTACAAAAAAAAAACTGGCAATAAGAGGTTTCCCTCTCAGGAGCTTAGGCATACAAAGCAAGGGATGGCCGTTATTGCCTTGCTGAGAAGGCCCTTAAGCTAAATTTCAATAGAAATGTAATTTTCTGGGAGAGTGTAAGAAGGAAAAAATAACCAAGTCATCATTCTGGCTGCTGTGATGACTGCCAACAATGTAGGTTTATTTCCAGTTCATCCATTATATCTTATAGTTGTTTCTGGTCAGTGGGTGTTACTCCTGGTGGTTATTCAGAAAGCCAGTTTCCCTCCACGTGTGGCTTTACCTTTCTTTCCTTGGGGTGTCCTTGCCTGGGTCTTCCACATTCAGCAGATGGAGGCAGAGTGAAGTAGGAGATCTGATGGAAAGTTTGTATGGGCCAGGCTGGCAGACGTGGCGTGTGTCATGTCTGTCCATGCTTGCCCACTGGCAGAAGTTGGACAGAAGTAGACCTAACTGCAGGGAGACTAGGAATGTGAGGAAGCTGAGTTTCCACAAAAGTAAGCAGATGTGTTTGGGGAATGCATTGCAGCCTTTGCCACAAAGGGCATCCTCCAGGAGTTCACACTATGAAGAGCAAGGTTCCTCTTGAGCTAATTTAATGGACACATAGCATTAGGTGATTGTCCAGATTGAAATTTCTGACCAGGGACAACTTTTATCAACTGAGGTTAGAGAGAGACAACTCATTGCAGCCCAGCACAGCTCAATTCCCAAGCGAGATGACAGCTCAGGCAGGCACAGATACAGGTCCTGAAATGCAAGAGAGGACTGGATGAAGGACGCCAAAAACCTGAGCTGAGCGAGATGAGCTGCTGTCCACGCACCTTCCTCAGCCCCCAGGTTTGGGATGTTGATGGAGCACACACATCCATCCCCGCTGCCAGGTGGAATACAGTGGACTCCTGTGTTACAACCTCTTCTCTTCTCTCTCCACAGTGACGCTTTCCGCCGCTCCTCCCTCCTACTTCAGAGGATTCACATTAATCGCCCTCAAAGAGAACAGAGAGGGTGATAAGGAAGAAGATCATGCTGGGACCTTCCAGGTAAGCACCTGCCTGGGCCTTATCCAGCACACCTCATTTCTTCTGCCTTCTGACCATCGCCCAGTGGTCAGGTCCATGCGCCAAGACACATAGAGGAGTCACAGTAGGATGCTAGGAGTCTGTTGTGAGCAGGGTGGGCCACCAGGCGGAGCTTGCTTCAGTAGCCGTGGGCAGCAGGCAGTGCAGCATGATGAAGGCACTGGAGGCGAGGCAAGGCAAGGTGAGGCTGTTTCTTCCATGCAGGCATTTTGTGATTGACTGGTAAGTCTCAAGAGTAAACCACACGAGAGCTCAGGTCAGCCAGACTGGAGGGAGTTCAAAGCACGGGAGAAGGACTATTAAGGGAATGTAGAGATTGATTTATGAGGGAAGATTAAAAGAATTAAACATGCTTTGCTTGGCTAAATGAACAGGGCTGAGTTTAGGAGGTAGTAAGGGTCTTTAAATGTCAATCCTCGCAGAACAACCTCCAGGGGCAGCTTCGTTTGACTTTGCACAGAAGGGCATGGCAAGACGAAAGTGGGTCAAGAGAAGAAAAAGAATCTCAAAGGCAAGGGCCCTGGCAGTGAGTCATATTTCACTGTGGAATATGCTTCTAAGGGAAGTGGCGAGAGCATCATCCCCTTTCAGAGGCTTAGAAAGGGGCCAGCAAGTTGTCAGAACAGATTGCGGAAGGACCAGAGCCAGCCTAGGAGGAGGCCTGGCCAAATTTACTGGCCCTGTTTGCCTTTTCCAATTTCCATAGTTCTGAGATGCCTTGAAAAAAAAAAAAAACCAGAATTTGGAAACTCAGAAGGAAAAAATAACCCAAAGAAGAACATTGGCTCCTGGGGCTGGCTCCTGGGGATGCTGGTCCAATTTGTGAGGCTGTAGCCCAACACTCTGTTCTCCATTTAAAGGTGTCATTTGGAGCTCTAATAGCCAGGTTAGGATTTTGAACTTCATGATTCAGAATGTCTGGGATTCTGAACTTCTGGCCTAGGGAGAGTATTCATTTCATGCTCATTGTAATTCCCTTTTATGGCATGACACGTCTTGGCATGTATCTGAAAGAGTGACCTATAGTAATGCCAGCAGCAGCCAATATTTATTGGGTCCTTAACCGTCTGCCAGGCACTATGCTAAGTGCTTTATCTTATCTTTGTTTAACTTCATCTTCACTTAATTTGTTTGCTTTATCTGTGTTTAATTCTCCAAACAACTGCAGTGTATGGGATGTATTTGCCCATGTTCAGATAGGGAAATTGTAACTGAAGAGATTAAATTGCTTGTCTAAGTGTGCAGTGAAGTGTACAACTGGGTTCTTTTACCGCTTCCCTGCTGAACTGAACACAATCTTGGTTCAGGTGCAAGAGGTGAGGGTGCCATTTATAGGACAAGGAACATTCATCCCTACTTTCAGCCTAGAAAGCATTGAAATACAGCTCTCCTGGCTGCATTATGGTAATTCTCACGGAGATATGGGCTGTTTACCAGATTCTAGCAGCTGCATAATATGAGTAAAGGTCTAAGAAGGTAAGAGTTGGGGATGGAGAGCAGTGCCCACCAGCACGAACCTTACCTGCACTGTGTTGGTGCTTACAGTGGGCTTATACCCCAAAGCTTTGAAAGCAGGGACTTGTAATAGACTTTTTTTTTGTAAAGATTCATTCCATTTTTATTTGAAAGGCAGATTTACAGAGCAAGAGGTCCTCCATTCACTGGTTCACTCTCCAAATGACTGCAATAGCCAGAATGGAACCAATCTGAAGCCAGGAGAATCTTCCAGGTGTCCCCTCCTGTGTGTGAGGTGGCCATCCTCTTCTGCTTTCTCAGGCCACAAGCAGAGAGCTGGACTGGAAGTGGAGCAGTTGGGACATGAACCAGTGCTCACATGGAATGCCGACACCACAGACAGAGGCCCATCCCACCTTGCCACAGCACCAATCCTATGAATTGATATTTGTATCGCCACATCTAAAAACCTTGTTTATAAGAGATAGGGACAACCCAAGAGACCATCAGTATAATTGGATATGTGTACATAGGGAGATGTCACCTGTTCATCCTTTAAAAGGAAGACAGGTGACATATGCTACAGCATAGATAAACCTTGGGAACTTTACACCAAGTGACATAAGGTATGCACAGAAGTACAACCACTGTATGATTTCACCTCCATGAGTTATCTGGAAAAGTCAAATTCATAGCAACAGAGTAGAACTGTGGCTTTGCTAGTGGCGAAGGGAGGAAGGCAACAGAGTGCTATTACTCAGGGGTACAGAGCTGCAGTTTGGGTTGATGAGGAACATTCGAGAGATGAAGGGCAGTGACGGCTTCCCGACAGTGTAAGGGTGTCTGATGCCACTGAACCACATGGAGGAAAATGCTCAAAATATGGGACAGTGTTGTGGTGCAGAGGGGTAAGCTGTTACTTGGGATGGTGACCTTCTGCCTCAGAGGGTCTGGTTTATGTTATGGCTACTCTACTTACCATTCAGTTTCCTGCGAATGTGCCTGGGAAGTAGCAGAGGATGGTCCAAGGAGAGACTCAAAGACTAGGATGGAGTTCAAGCCCCTGGCGTCAGCCTGCCCTAATCCTGACTGTTGAGAGCATTTGAGAACTGAACCAAAGATGGAAGACCTCTCTCTCACTCATTTCCCTTTCTCTCTACCACTCTACCTTTCCAATAAGTTTTTTAAAGAATCAATACCTAAGAATGTTCCATGTGCTAAGGGCAATGTGTACTCTGTAGCTGTTGCATGGGCTGTTCTGTTACTGTCTGCTGCGATTGTTCAATTAATTAATTAATTAATTAAAAAGATTTATTTATTTATTGGAAAGTCAGAGATACAGAGAGGAGGAGAGGAAGATCTTCCATCCGATGATTCACACCCCCAAGTGAGCGCAATGGCTGATGCTATGCCAATCCGAAGTCAGGATCCAGGAACTTCTTCCGGGTATCGCAAATGGGTGCAGGGTCCCAAGGCTTTGGGTCATCCTCGACTGCTTTCCTAGGCCACAGGCAAGGAGCTGGACGGGAAGTGGAGCTGCTGGGATTAGAACCAGTGCCCATATGGGATCCTGGCTCGTTCAAGGCGAGGACTCTAGTTGCTAGGCCATGCCACCGGGCCCCTAATTTACTTTTTACCTCTGATGTTTCTTTGTTAATTTTTGTCTGGAAGATCTGTCCATTAATTGTGTTGGAGTGTAGGTCTCCCCTAGGTATAATATTGACTTATATTGTAATCTAAAATGTAAAAATTAAAAAGGGGTAAAAATGGTAAATTTTAAGTACTCATTATCCTCCAATAGAAGAAAATAGTGCTTAGAGACCTTTCTGATGGAGACTTGGTTTCTTTGCACTGCCCCAAGTGGCTCCCCCTTTCTAACTCATTGCTCGGCTTCATCCTTGTTACTGCGTCTGATTGGTGAATATGGGGGTCCTGCCCACAGTGAGCTGTGGGGAAATATTCTCTGAATGAGTGAATGAGTGAGTGTGTAAACGATTCACTCTGCTACTGTGCATTACTTGGCTGGCCCATTACCGTTCAGGACTATTTTAGAACTCCTGTCTCCTTGTGCAGTCTCCCTTCTTCCTTCTCTTGGAGCTTCTAGTATCCTTTCTGTTGTTGTCAATGTAACTGTTATTTATTTTATTTTTTAAGATTTATTTTATTTTTATTAGAAAGTCAGATATACAGAGAGGAGGAGAAACAGAGAGGAAGATCTTCCATCTACTGATTATTCCCCAAGTGGCTGCAACAGCTGGAGCTGAGCTGATCCGGAGCAAGGAACCAGGAGCTTCTTCTGGGTCTCCCATCCAGGTGCCGGGTCCCATAGCTTTGAGCTATCCTCGACTGCTTTCTGAGGCCACTAGCAGAGAGCTGGATGGGAAGCGGGGTCACTGGGATTAGAACTGGTGCCCATGTGGGGTCCCGGCTCATGCAAGGTGAGGACTTTAGCCTCTATAGAGAAAGAGATCCTCCAGTCACTGGTTCCCTCTCTAAGGCCCACAAGAGCCAGGGCTGGGCCAGAGTAAAATGTCTATCCAGAATCCCATCCTAGTCACCCACGTAGGTGACAGGGATCGTATGCTTACACCATCACCTGCTACTCCTGGGGCGCTGATTCACAGGAAGCTGGATCAGGAGCAGAGTAATGTGACTCCACTTGGTACACCAAAATAGAATGTGGATATACCAAGCATGGTGCCCTAGGTTCACTCATTCTTTTTTCCTGAGCCATGGTTTTCAGATTCTGATTCCTGGGCCAGCAGTATTGGCACCCCAAGGGAGTTGGTAAGAAAAGCAAATTCTTGGGGATGGTGCAATAGTTCAGTTGGCTAATCACCCACCTCCAAGTTCCAGCATCCCATATTGTTTATGTCCTACCTGCTCCACTTCCCATCATAGCTCCCTGCTTTTGGCCTGGGAAAGCAGTCAAGGAAAACCCAAAGCCTTGGGACCCTGTACCCACGTGGGAGACCCGGAAGAGGCTCCTGGCTACTGGCTTCAGATCAGCTCAGCTCAGGCCTTTGCAGTCCATTGGAGAGTTAACCAGCAGACAAAAGGTCTTTCTGTCTTTCCATTTCTCTGTAAATCTGCCTTTACAATAAAAATAAATAAGTCATAAGAAGAGCAAAGATTTTCTGAATTAGAGACTCTGAGGATGGATCCCTTGTACTCTGTCGTACTGCGTTGTCAGCATGAACCAGAGGGATGCTCAGATTTGCAAAGAGTAGTTGTTATGAGAAGCAGACGATGCAAGGAGACCTGCTCCATCATCCTAGCAATGCATTTCTCTGTTCCTACCTGTCACTGCTTCTACCACCCTGCCAGGATCAAAATGGCCAGGAATATGGAAATGCCTAACAGTGGTCATGAGAGTTACCACTTAGGCATAGCATGTGGCTGCCAGTGCTGGTCTCAGTGGTTTACAATTAGTAAGGAATCTAATTCACAAAGATGAGGCAAGTATGAGTATCCTGTGTTCTACAGATGAGGATCATGTGGTACAG